TTATCGAAACCTCAACAGAGCTGGCCGACTATAGAGCGTGAAGCTTATGCTATAGTATGGGCATTGAAGAAGCTTGAACCTTGGATATTCGGTTCATCAGTGAAAATTGTGACTGATCATAATCCTCTAGCCTTTATAGTGAGAAATGCTCTGCAATTGTCCAAATTACAATGATGGGCCATAGCTTTGCAGAAATATAATCTCGAAATAGAACATTGCCCTGGAAAAAAACTGTCAAACGTGGATGCATTATCCAGACTTCCCACCTCTGAACTTTGAACATTAATTTACTGTTCATCTTCACAAGCATTTTGTATAGTTAATGATTAGATAGTTTTTCTTTGCTTTTCATAATCATTTTACAATTTTGTGCAAATAAGATGTTTATGTAATTTGAAATAGATAGAGAAATTATTGGATAACAAATATTCGAGGTAAGTGGTAAATTTAGATATTTGTCTCCCAAGGATATAAATCATGCTGCAGCATCATTAATTAAAAAGAATGTTAAGAATATAATTATATATATATATATAAGAAGCTTAATAATTTTACTGTCATCATTGGAATAATACCTAAGGTATATTTTAACATGTTTGTAAAAGAAAAATTATCAACTTGGTTTCTTTGGGTTAAGAATTGATAAATTGTTACAATAATAATAAGGGTTTGGAACAAGTGAAGTTAAAAATGTGTTATCTATGTTTATATATAAAAAATGTGTTAGTTATATTTATATATGTTTATGTAGTAAATTGAGGTGCAATTGTAGGTATATTGCAAATGTCTATAGTAATCGAGATTTGAAAATTAGGATAGAATGTATAAAAGTATATGTAGTTTTTTTTCTTTTTCACGTTGATCGCAAACAGTTGCTAGATTTTAGTTTCCAGATTGCTGATTGATTTGTAAATAATATCAACAACAATCTTACGACAGCGGTGTGATATCTGGCGACTGTTTGACGATCAACAGAGCGTGCTTGGTGCAGGTAGCTCTTCTCCGAGAAGGGTTAATGTATTTATTAAGAGTTGCATGTTAGCCTCGGAAGAGGAAGGTAGTAGATTGTACTATGCGGTAGGAGCAACGTACTGCTCTGAGTCACTATTATATTATGCTTTGAATTATATATTTAATAAATGTTTGTTTCGTCTTGCTAAATGGTGCCTTGTTCAACCACGAAGTCATCACAACACGCTCTCTTACGAGAGAACCAGAGAGGTTAGAAGCTTAGAGCATTGAAGACGGAAATGGCGTAAAGTTAAGCCTAACTAACGAAAGAAGTGTGCATTTGCAAAAGAGAGTAAAAGTATGAGAATTATTTAAACGAGAGTTTGAAAGGCTTGATTCTAAAGGAAAATAGAAGAAAATGTTCAAAAACGCAAAGAAAGAGGATTTAGTAACAGTTCTATTGGAAATTGGCGAAGAAGCATCCCCAGATTTGAAGCTGGTAGAACTGAAACACAAACTCCAGAATAGCAAGGAATACATCGAAGATGCTGATTTCGTGAAAGAAATTTTGATTACTACAGTGGAGAATAGAAAAAGAAAAGAAGAAATGGAAAGAATGCAAATGGAAGAAGAAAGAATAAGAACAGAAAGAGAACACGAAATAGAACTAGCGAAGATTCGAGCAACTCAAAATGAAGGAAGTAGAAGTCCAACACCTTTAATCCAAAACGCAGAATGAGACGCAGTGAATTGAAGTATATATTTACTAATATGTAAGGGATCTACAAAGCAAAAGTATGTTTTGAAATCCGAAATCTGTTTATCAATTCACTCTGCTTTGCAGCAGGGGGGCACAACGCCGCGGCGCTCAATGAATTGGAAGTTGACCTATCAGCACTATTCTTATCTTCAGGGCAGATGTTTTTATTTTATTTGGCTTATAATTCCTTGCTAAATGTAGTATTTCATCTCGATGTACTCTGTCTTTGATATGATTTAAATCAAATTCCTCGTCATTATAAATATCACGAATACACATCAAATAGTTTTCTGGTCGCAATTTTCTAATTTCTTTCAGTGCGCATGCGCGCATTGAAAGAAATGTTTAACAAAGTAAATAAATAAATATAAAGCTTTTTTTTTTTGTATCTTGAAAACTTAATAAGTGATTTAAAAAATAAAAAATAGTTTTGAACATATATTTTACTTATCTACTCATATCTTGCTGGAATGCACCTTATACTGAAACACCGTGTATAAATATTTTATGTATTTTACAACCCCTTCTCCCCCCCCTCCCGAGACTACACCTATGACAATAAGTCGATTGCGACACATTTTTAAGGTAGAAAGTAGATCGTATATACAAAAATGTTGACCACCTCTGTAATACAGTCAAAAGTCGTTAATCCGGACTCGTCGGGACTTCGGCGATTCCGGATTATCGATTTTTCCGTATTATAGACCATCAGTTTAAATCTGGTAAGATGGCATGCAGAAATTACAAAATTAAAAATATGAAACCGTAATTTATGAAATAAAGAACAATTATGATTTAAAGGGTATCAAAATATACAAAAAGAAAAAGCTTAATATTTATTTTACTTTATTAAACATTTCTTTCAATGTAAGTTGTTTAAGTTGCTTCGTTTTATGTGATAATACTTTCTCTTTAATTCTATAAACAGACATAATTTCTTGTTCAGTTACAAAGTTCCGCTTTTCAAGTCCTATAATTGCTGTGTCGAGAATACCGACTAATTTGTCAATTGAAATGTTTTCGTTTTCAATAACCTCTCTGTCACTTTCTTCACTATCGGAAGCGAACTATAATGACGAGGAACTTGATTTAAATCATATCAAAGACGGAGTACATTGAGATGAAACACTACATTTAGTAAGGAATTATAAGCCAAATAAAATAAAAGCATCTGCCCTGAAGATTAGGATAGTGCTGACAGATCAACTTTCAATTCATTGAGCGCCGCGGCGTTGTTGCCCCCCTGCCGCAGAGCAGCGTGAATTGATAAACAGATTTCGGATTTCAAAACATACTTTCGCTTTGTAGATCCCTTACATATTAGTAAATATATATCGGAAATTCTATTTGACATAATCGAAAGTTCAAGCTTACTTTTATAAAATTGCTCTAACAGTCTGCAAAAAATAATAAGCCGGATCCAATTCGAAGATTAAGGAACAACGCATTCTGCAACATTAACTGAATTAGATAATTTTAGCTTAGCTTATACCGTTCGTTATACATTAAACGCGCATGTGTAAACGTATTATACGCTTGCGCACACGCATATTCGCAGCCATAAAGGTGTTACGCACACGCGTAAATGCCTATGCGCACAGAAAGTTTGTAGCTTTGAGGTCCGGATTATGGGTATCCGAATTAACGACTTTTGACTGTATATCATTTTTTCTAGGGAAGAAAAGCCATTAAACAATTTTATTATTTGATATTCCTCAAAGCTGTTATTTTGATTTTCAGCCCCTTTTTACCTTTTCAATAAATAATGTAGTAATATATAATTTTGCTCAGGAAGAATATCTCTTCAATAAAGGTAATACAAACACACCTTTAAGCGCCCCCTTTTTTTTTATTGTCAGGCTCATGGGTCCTCTAGAGCTAGTGGATATTTTTTTCCAAAAGATAAATGTTTTGCATCTAAAACTAGCCTTAGAAATATTACCCCCTTTCACCGACTGTGACGACTTATTTTGAAAAGTGCCTGCTTGAATCCTTAACCCAGGGGAAAAATTTCTCTTGTGTTACGTAGTCTCTCCCCTGAAATTAGCAGATAATTCCCTAAAACGTAAAAGCATACTTTTAAATTAGCAGATTTTTCATTCCACTACCAGGTAAAAAGGGACAACATATGACCAAATTAGCCATCAATAACCTCTTTTAATTTACGCTGCATTGAAGGGGTTTTGAAAACACCAAGTGATGGGTGTCTTTCGGGGCTAACATGGTACATTTAACCCTTTCAATTTTGTAATGTTTTGACGCCAGATGACAATTTTGAAATTGATGAGTTTTTCTTGGGGGAAATGTGAAGTGGTGAAATGAGACTTTTAGCTAAGAGATGAATGAAAACTCGACTGAAGTAAAAAGAAACTGAAATACATTTATTTATTCCTAGCACAGGGTCATTTAACTCCCCATCCCCCCATGAATATAATATTTAATCCTAAGTAACTTATAAATTAATTGTAAACAACTGTATCATATTATGTTATAAACAATTAAAATATAAATAAATTCTTTCACTCCACAGAGTGGAGAAGGAAAAGCCTGGTGTTGCCATCTATTGGCAATGTACCCTTCGTATAAGTGTTGGTATATTTTGTAGACCGGTATTAAAGTCGTATAAATAATCTTTTTAACTATTAGTTTTGAATTTTTTCGTCCCTTGCAATAGAATTTATGAATTTTTAAACATTATGCTTTTGAATAAGGTATATTAATTTCATAACTGTAAAATATTGCTCATTCATGTTAGTGCTGCCTTTGAGAATTAAAAGGAAACTCTGGAAGCTCAAGATCATAGCTTTGGTGCAGAAAAATTAGCATTTTTTATAAGGTTAAAAAAGTGACAATCTGCCTGTATATATTATATACCAGTACTCTTTAAACAGTTCATGAGAGAAGAAAATATATTTCAGATTTATGTAAAACTGAAATACTGAGAGAAATAGCTCAAATTCTTTTATACCTAATGCAGTAATTTCCAGAAAACATTGTAATAAAAATGCAGTACAAAGTATGAGATCCGGAATCGTCGGGACTTTGGCGATTTTAGATCATTAATACAATACAATGCTTGGTGTAATGCTGTAAGTGGGACAGATATGTCTCTTTGGCAATAAACATTGAAATTTTGACTATAAGCTGGGTGATTATATTTTGATTGTAAGATATAATAAAAATATAATACTGTGAGTTGGGTGACATGGTGATGTGATTTGGCAACATATGTATGTACTATATATATATATATAGTTTTTTTTTTTTTTTTTTTTTTTTTTTTTTTTAGTTCTCGGATAATTATGCTAATATTGTAATGTCATCTGAAGAACCAAGTAGTAATCCAGAAGTTGTTGAAAATATCAGCTCAATAGTTGTGAGTTCAAATATTTTCATTTCCTAATTGTCAAATATTGACTTTATATTAGTTTTGTGGTGTGTCATTTTTAATTAAAATGTCTAACTGTTCAAGTGACTGTGTATTTTGTGTTCTTTTCATAGTGAATAATTATATGATGCATCATTATATTTATTTAGGAAAAAATTGGGACTTCATGTGCCAGTATTCAAATACCACAAGCCTTAATATCTCCTACTGTGCCATATTATACATCATCATCTCTTCCAGCTACGTAAGCATATTCAAATTTACATTTAATTTATCCTTTTTTATGTTAATTTTATATATATATTTTTATTAATTTTTTTAGGGAAAATTTTCCTGGAAATTATTCATTTTCAGTGGGATTTCGTTCTCAAGAAAAGAACACGAAAGGTGTTACGTGGACGGTAAGAAATTTAAGTACAGTAGATCCTTGATTATCTGAAAAAAACAATTATGAAATACACTGGAGCTCTATCGTGTTTTATAACATGAAAAGCACTAAATTGTTTGCTGAGAATTATAATTTAGAATCAAAATGTATAGTATTTGAACAAATTTACACTGTTATTCAGTTTATGAGGATTCAGGCTTACACTTGTTTAAAAATTAGGCAAAAGGAAGGAAAATGTGAAAAAATAAAACTGAAGTTTATGAGTAAAAACACATCCATAACCTTACAGTTCTAATATAGGTGACTCAGAGAGGTCATTGTAATAAAAATCAACGAGCTTAACGATTGCCTTGAATGTGTTAATGCTTTAATAATTAAAAAAAAAAATGTGTAGCAGAACTGACAATGAATAAAGTAGCTTTCTTAGGAAGACCTTTAGGGATATGTTATCAAAACCTTAATGATAGTGGGAAATTGCACACAAAATGTTTTCTTAATTTCTGTCAGTAAAGCAGCTATGTTTTCGTTCCAGCTCTATCTTTTGACAATTTAAATTAGGTATGTCTGACCTGCAGCCCACAGGCAGCCATTTGCAGCCTATGTCATATAGCAAGCCCCCCCCCAAAAAAAAAAAGTGAGTGAGAGGTTTAATGTAAGCAAAATACCTCATCTTGCAATTTGTTAAGGAGAATGAAGCAGTTTTTTTATATGCATGGCAAGTTATTATGTATATCATCATGAAAGTCTTTTCTATTCAGTATATAAGCAAAGGTTATTGATTTTAGAAAACATATTGACTAAATGAAGTGATCTTGGTAATCTGCTTAATATTCTAAAGAGTAGCAACTAATTACAGTATACACTTTATCTTTGTGTATACACTTTATCTTGATTATCTTTTTTGTAATTTGTCCAGTGCAAGATTTTCAATTATACACGGCATGCTGCAGAGTGTCGACCATGTTTTGATAATCCTCTTTAATGACTCGCTTGAAAATTCATTCATTAAAGAAGTCAGAAACAGCAAAATCTGATTTTAAAAATTTTCTAATTTTCAATAATGCTCTAGAACATGATGCTGAAGCCTTCGTAAACGCAATATTGCATCCAAATGTAAAGTATTATTTCTTCCACTGAAACCACTTCCTTAAACCTACCAATAAATCAAAAAATCATAAAAACATTCAAAGCATTTTCAGGCATGTTTAAATTTCTTCGTATATCTACGAGGGCAATCCCAAAAAAAAGGTCTCCTATATTTTTAGATATACAAAGAACCGTTTATTTTCTATAATTGAACTCACTTAAAGATTGAAGAATGCTTTATTTTTCAACATAATCGGCCATTGCGGTCGATGCATTTTTGTAGATGCTTTGGCATTTTACAATGCCATGTCTACCAGCTTCCGCCAGCCCTCAGGAAGCGTTAAATCATCAACAGTTCAATCTTCAGAAGAATCAACCCGTTGCTGTTGTGGTCTTATGTCAGCCATACGTGGCACCCCTATTGCACACACCTTCCGATATTGCAACTTTTCCTTTAAAATCCTGTGGATTTGCTTCTGGAAACCTGAGGAACCAAAATGCAGAGAGCATCCAGAGTGATCCTCCCGATCTTTACGCATGAGTTCCTCAACTTTCGCGATTTGTCTCGTTGGCAATTGATGGCCTCCCGCTCCTTTCTCGTCATGAATTTCAGTACGACCGGCTGGTAAACTCTACACCACTTGCGAACGTTTTTGAGATCCATGCACGACTGTCCATACACTTCCGTCAATAGGCGGTGAATTTCAACTGGTTTAACACCTGTTGCTTTCAAAAATCGAATAATTCGCACTTGGCGGTAACGTTTATCGGGAGCTCCATTTCGAATGGCTGCCAAGCCAAGACTGAGCATCCGAGTGAAGCGCCTGCATGCTTATGTGGTAGCGAAGAAGGCACTACTCACAACAGTGTTGCCAACAACCATATTAAAACTTTCTCTACGTCCCCAAAAATTGGAGACCTTTTTTTTGGGTTTGCCCTCGTACATGTGCCTATGTAAAAAATGGTGGCTTTGGGGAGTGAATCTTGTATGTTTTCCATGGCTGTTAAGGGGTTAAATGAATAGTTAAAAAGCTACTGGAACTGTCTGATTTTGTAATGGAAATTGACCCAAATAAAGAAAAAAGAGGAAATTTTTTTAGAGAGATTGAAAAACTTTGCACCCTTTACTGTGAAATGTGTAATGAGTTGCATTAGACATTGTTCCAAACAAAAATCACCACCTGTATAATTGCTACATTATGAACTTTCTACTATCTTTTCCTTTTCCTCGTCATTACTGCTCTTTTTAGAGCACCTGTATGCTTCGCATTAAGTTTTTATTAGATCACCCAGAAAGTTCTTGGGTTTTTCAAATCAAAGTGCATTTTTATTTAATTATTTCGTTACTGCTGATAAGGAGTCATCTTGATTAAAGTGGATATTCAAATGTTGTCTTTTTTGTTCATGTTGCTTAATTCTTGCATGCATTGTTGTGTAATTAACACACAATAATGTTAAAAGAAAAAGATTATGGGGTAAGCCAAGAGAACCTCCTTTAGTATCATCGAGAATGGTTTGCATTCCAAAAAAGTAATGCTTTGTAAATGATGGGACTATAAACGAAGAGCTAACAAAGAATTGTTGCCAAAAATTAGACAATATACGAGGCACGTCCAGAAAGTAAGTTCCATTTCAATTTATCTCTGCTGCAGCTCTGTGATCGCAGTTCCGCACGTGCGCAGTAGACGCTCTGTATCAAGGAGAAGAAACGCGCGCCATTTGGAAATCGCTGTTAGTCACGTACGCTTTGTTGTGCTTGTTTACAATGTCGGTGTTGATTGAAAATCCCGCCGCTTGTGAAATCAGATCTGTGATTTGTTTTCTGAATGCGAGGAAAGTGAAACCTAGTGAAATTTATCGGCAAATTTGCGATGTTTACGGAACAAAAGCAATGAGTGATTCAATGGTGAGAAGATGGGTTTGAAAGTTCAATGACGGACGTAATGATGTGCACGATGAAGAACGAAGTGGGCGTCCATCTTTGGTTACAGAAGAACTGGCTCACGCGATTGATGACAAGATCCATGAAAACCGAAGGTTTACAATTAGTGCTCTTGCTGTGGAATTTCCCCAAATTTCATGAAATTGTTACAGAAAAACTGAAATTTCGTAAGCTTTGCTCACGTTGGGTACCAAAGATTCTTACTGAGCAACACAAAACAAAATGGATGGGTAGTGCACTTCAGTTTTTGACCCGTTATGCTGAAAGCGGCAAAGAATTTCTGACACAGATAGTCACAGGAGATGAAACTTGGGTTTCTTACGACACCCCTGAAAGTAAGCGGCAATCAATGGAATGGAGGCACACTTCATCCCCAGCAAAGGTTAAGCCGAAGCAAATCTTGACACCTCGAGAAATGATGTGCACAGTATTCTGGGACTGGAAAGGCATCTTACTCATTGATTTCTTACCGCATAGTCAAACAATCTGAGCAGATGCTTATTGCGAGACACTTCGAAAATTGCGCCGCGCAATACAGAATAAGCGCTGAGGATTGCTGTCAAAAGGTGTTGTTTTTCTTCACGACCACACACTGCAAATGTGACGAAAAACCTCCTACAGGGATTTGGCTGGGACGTGTTTGACCATCCTCCGTACAGCCCTGACCTCGCTCCTAGCGACTTTTCATCTGTTCTTACATCTTAAGTCTTTCCTTGGCGGTCAACACTTGAACAATGACAACGAGCTGAAAGAAACTGTTTCCAACTGGTTGAAGACACAGGCGGGAAATTTCTATGAAGAAGGTATACAAAAACTTGTGCCACGCTATGACAAATGCCTGCAATATTTCGGCAGTTATGTGGAAAAGTAGTTTAAGAGTTGTTGAATTTTGTGCAATAAATAACTTTTCTGTTGCTGTACACAATTTACTTTTATTACCAAACGGAACTTACTTTCTGGACGTACATTGTATTTGACAAAATATTCGTCCCTAAATGGCAGTTTTATAAAGTAGAAATTGAAGCAAAGTGAATACTGACCAATTTCTTGAGGTGCCTCTCACCCAACATGACAATGCTTGACCTCACATTTCAGTGAATGTCAGACAAAAATTTACTCAGAATAGTTGAGATGTTTCGTGTCACCTTTCATATTCACTCGACCTCGCCTTGTCGGATTTTCATCTCTTTAGGCCACTTCAAAATTCCCTGCATGGCCTGGAGTTCATTTCTTGAACAAGCATCAAATAGCACCTCAATAACATCTTTATCACCCCCCCCCCAAAAAAAAGCAAAAAAATTTGTAAGGAATTTTCCAGCTGCCTGACAGATGACAAAATGTCAAAAAACAAAATTATGCTTGTATGCTTCATTTGTATTTATTATAAAAAAAACCACAGAACTTTCTGGATGACCCCAAATAAATTATACATACCTTCATAATCTGAACCGTACATAAACTGTTTTTTCCGTATCTTTGCAGAGTGTAATTTGCTATACACACAACGCGTTAACTATGTTAACCTGATGTTTGGCAAGGGTCTACTGTACACTCTGGACCAAAACAAAGAGAGAGAGAGAGAGTTCTATATCTCCCATTCTGCTGGGCTGATTGACGAAATTTAACTTGCGTTTTTTATGTCTTGAAAGTGCGACCTAGGATATATGTTAGATTTATACATAGGATTGTTCTAACATAGGTATTTTAACATAAAATCCGACTTTTTCTCTAATAACATACAGATTTTTTTTACATATTTCGATTCTACCACTCAATTATGTGTAAATTTTAAGTTTTGTAAAATTTGATGAGAAACTTACCGAGAAATTCAAAAATTTATCTTGGCTACATTTTCAGTTTGCACCAAGAATAATTCACTTGATGAAATCCTTAATTTATAGTAACCTATTTTCCTTTCCCTTTTTTCTTACAGAATGTGTAAAGCACATTTGGCTGTATTATTGCTTTTAATAAATATGCCAAAT